AATCTACAAAGAACTCAAGCAAATCAGCAAAAAATCAAAAATAATCTATCAAAAAGTGGGCAAAGGACATGAATAGACAATTCCCCAAAAAAGATACATAAATGGCCAGCAAACATGAAAAAATGCTAATTATCAGAGAAATGCAAATTAAAACCACAATGGGATGTCACCTTACTCCTGCAAAAATGGCCATAATTAAAAAATAAAAAATTAACTAATGTTGGCATGGATGTGGTGAAAAGGAAACATTTCTACACTGCTGGTGGGAATGTAAAGTAGTACAACCACTATGGAAAACAGTATGAAGATTCCTTAAAGAGTTAAAAGTAAAACTACTATTTAACCCAGCAATCCCACTACTGGGTATCTACCCAGAGGAAAAGAAGTCATTATATGAAAAAGACACTGGCACACGCATGTTTATAGCAGCACAATTCACAATTGCAAGGATATGAAACCAGCCTACATGCCCATCAACCCACGAGTGGATAAGGAAAATGTGTTGTGTATATATATATATACATACATATATATACACTGCAGAATATTACTCTGCCATAAAAAAGAACAACATAATGGCATTCACAGCAACCCAGATGGAGCTGAAGACCATTGTTCTAAGTGAATTAACTTCGGAATAAAACCAAACATCTTATGCTCTTACTTATAAGTGGGAGCTAAGCAATGAGGATGCCTAGGCATAATAATGACATAATGAACTTTGGGGACTTGGGGGGAAGGTTTGTAGGGGTGAAGAATAAAAGGCTATACATTAGGTATAGTGTGCACTGTCCAGGTAACAGGTGCACCACAATCTCTGAAATCACCACTGAAGAACTTACTCACGTAACCAAAAACCACCTGTTCCCCCAAAATTATTGAAATAAAAATAGAAAATTAAAAATTGCAGTGATTAAATATATAGTACAATAATTGTTAGCTATATTACTAACATTTTTATTATTTTATTATACTCATCATTTTGTCATTGCTATGATGGAAGTGTTGTTGATGCTATAGATAATAAAAAAGTATTCTGTCAATAAAAAATAAATAGATAATCCCTTCTTTCATTTACTCAGAATAATGCCGTCAAAAACTGTGAACCTGCATACTCTGAATAAGAGCTCTAAATAACACTAACATCTGCGCATAAGCTCAACGGATGGCCCCTGCTTGATCTTTCAGGTAGGCAGTTTTGTAAGCAATTTCCTTTTTTTCCCTTTTCATATTAAAATACAGAACAAAATTAACAGCTGCCAACCCAGAAACATACATCTGTCCATACATTCCTAACCAATGTGGTAACAGCCTTGAACTGTTTACTTACTAGAACTCAGCTTCTCAGAAATATTTAATAATAATATGTATCTCATTACATTCTCCCATAACTGATGCATATCCAGCCCTCTTTAGCTGGATTCATTGGTATGTGTCTTTATTTACTCTGCACTGATTTACTACTAATAATAGGATTCGTATCAGATCTGCAAAATCCCAAGCACAAGATGCTTACATTCCTCACTGCAGCTAAAAGCTCATGCCCCACTGAGGCAGTAAATTAGATTTGGTTTTATAATGGACCTCAGAGTAATATAGTTTAATCAAAATCCTTGATTTAAGCACCCTAGAGTACTTATCAATGGCTTAGTTGAGACTTTATTTATACATTTGCTTATTGATTTAATTCATTAATTGACTAAAAATCACTTTACCAATATTCATGAATCACAACAAATCAAAAATAAGATATATGAATATTATAACTGGTATATGTAGGCTAATTTCTCCATGAGCTAATCCACTGAATCTCCTTCTACAGGGGAGCTCACTGCTGCACATATGGAGCAACCGACATCCTTATGCAGCCCCATGCTCAACGTCAGCCCCATGCTCAATGTGGCCCATGTAGGGTCCTCTGTCTTTAGCCTTTCCTCAACTTTGTCAAATTTTAAATATTTAACAAAGAACATAAAGGAATCTCTTGTTTTACTTCACTGACAACACTTTTTTCCCTTCCTTGTGTTTTCTCTGTCAATAGCTTAGAAACCTAAATCTATATCAATGGCAGAATGTGTAAATAAAGAGTGGTAAAAAATGAAATATTAAACAAATGTAAACTGAGTGAAGCACGCTCTTCCATTTTTTAATGGAACCCACTTGTTCAGAATTATATTGATCTTAAATTTTGTTTCAGGGTACATTTTCACCAATGTTCACTGTTTTTTAAGTTTTATTTTATTTTTAAAATAAAATAAAATTTTGTTTAATTGACAAATCATTCTTGCCCCTCTTTATGTATTCATCTATTTGCTTATTTACTAGTAATAGATTAATTTAACCTTATATCCATCTTTTGAAAACAAATTAACAAGGATAAATCTGCAAGCATCCAAAACTTAATATAACATGAATCCATCTGTGAACATCAAGCAGTTAGGAGCCTAGTCCATCTTTTATATGGACATCAGCTGTATAGAAATTACTTTATCCTAATACTTCATAATTTATATCCATCACTGGTCTGTCATTTGTTCTCTTTTAACTAATTATGACATAAACTTATTCATTCATTCCCTTACAATCCATAGCAGAGAATTCAAAGAAACTGTTAAAAACTCTGAATAAAACTAACATCACGCCATTGCACCCCAGCCTAAGCAACAAGAGTGAAACTCCATCTCAAAAAAAAAAGGAAACAGAAAGAAAAAATCTGAAAAGTCCTCGCAAAACAAACATGACTAACCACAGATCACTGATAGAACAATAATGATAGCATTTGAAATACTGCATGAATTACCAAAATATGACACAAAGACACAAAGTGAGCACATGCTGTTGTAAAATACTTTGTTTTTTACACATTAAAAGTCTGTGGGAAAAAAAAAAAAAAAAAAAAAAAACACACTAACATCTGTCAATCTGCCCATTACCCAGAGGTAAGCGATTAGATCTTCCTTCTCATTGTTGTTCAATGAACTCAATGACTGGAACTGGATTAACAGTAATTCTTAGCACCTGACACGTTCTCAACACTGGTCCTCTTCCATTTTCTTATTATTTATGGAAAACCCTTTCCCTTCTAAGTAAGAGCCACCATCCATCCCTGTGCTTGTGTGTATTTTATTGACTTCAATGCATCAAAAACATAATAATCCATTGGTTCATGCTTGTCTTTCTTTTTTTATTCATTTACACATTTGTTTAATAAGTTTGTTTATACATTTGTTCAATTTGTTTAGTGATTTACTGATCAATTCACTTATTAATACTAATGTAATCAATACCATGAGCTGTAAAAGGGTTAAGATGAAGACTGCGGTTCCTATTCCCTAACTACAGGCCCATCTATAAAGGTGGGAGACTGGGTGTGTCTTACAGTGGGTTTCAGTGGTGCCCTACGTGGATTAATCCTGCCCTCACTCAGCACTCGTCATGCTTAGCCCTCTTCCCTTTGGTCAGCTACTTAATCAGATATTAGTTAATGTTCGTAATTTTCTTTGAAACAAAAAAACTGAAGACTGGCGAATCAACACCAACAAAACAGAACAGCATCGATTATTACTACATGATCTTTTCATATCTTCCTTACCTCAATGAACTAACCACCCTTACCTAAAAGAAGTAACCATTAAACCATAGCCAGTATTTTAACGGCTTTTGGTGCTTAATAAAATCTATTTATAATAGGCCAGACACATGGCTCATGCATTTTGGGAGGCCAAGGCGGGTAGATGGCTTGAGCCCAGGAGTTTGAGACCAGCCTAGGCCAACATGATGAAACCTCATCTCTACAAAAAAGACAAAAAACAACAGCCAGGCATGGTGGCATGTGCCTGCGGTCCCAGATACTAGGGAGGCTGAGGCAGGAGCATCGCTTAAGCCTGGAGGTTGAGGCTGAGGTAAGCTGTGACTGCACCACTGCACCCCAGCTTGGGTGACAGAGTAAGACTCTGCCTCAAAAAAGAGAAAGGAAAATAATCCTCGTTCCAGTATACACTTTAATGCTTAGTGTGTGTTGTTTCCATTTTTTTCTCACTTGTCATTGATTCATCACTGATTAGCCAATAATAATACAATCAATACCCATGGATTAGAAAAATATAAAACTGAATATTCCTCTCATTGGCTTATAGCAGTGCTGAGCAATAAAATATATAATGCAAGCCACACAAATACTTGTAAATTTTCTAGAAGCTACAGTTTTAAAAAGTAAAAAAAAAAAAGGTGAAACAGTAATTACACATTTTATTTAGCCCAATATATAATACACTATCATCGTAACATTTAATCAATATAAATAATTCTAGAAATATTTTACCTTTTTTATACTGAGGCTTCTAAACTCAATATAATTTTCCATGTAGATCACATGTCAATTAGACTAGTCACATTCCAAGTGCACAGTAGCCCCTGTGGCTAGCAGTGATGTCAGACAGTGCATGTCTATAATCTAATTTCCCACAGAAATAATACACTATAAATCATCCTATAATGCATCTAAGTATGACACATATGGATCAATGATTCAATCAACATTCTTCATACATGGCAATGCTGCCGTCATCACTTGCCCATACTTGGCCCTTTTTCTTTTAATTCGTCTGTATTTCAAAGATGACACAATGAGTTACCATAAACCCACCATCTTCTTGCCCAATAGAATACTGATAATCACTTTCACTCTTCCTGTGTGCTGCCGTCTTATGCAGTTGATGACATAGGTCTTTATCAATGGAGGACTGCTTAAATCAACAGTGGCATAAAATGTATACAAATATTAAATGTCCAGCAACACAAATAAAATAGCCTGACTGTATTTTTCGTGGAAGTGGCGTTGAGTTGGATTAATCATGAACACCGATTCATATAACATTCTCCTCATTGGTCCATGCATGTTCTGTAATATTTTCATATGTGGAGCTTTTTATTTCTTTTAAATAATACAGTCAACATCCATGAACAAATCATCCAAACCAACAACAAGTACTCTCACTGACCTTTCATTGGCCTCCATGCTCCTTGCCCACAGAGAAAGGAGCCCAGTCCTCATCATTACATAACAGCAGATCACCTGCAGTGCACTCATTCTGTAGAAGAGAAAGCAGGTGTGAAAGATACTAGATTTAAACTTTTTAAATATTAAAAGTGTAGAATACTGGATTAAGCATCATCCTTGGCTTGTGCCACATTCTCAACATTGGCCCCTGGTTGGCCCTCTTTCTCTACACTGACCCACTTCATTCTTAACTGACTTAATCAATTGATTATTTTAATTATTAATTTAATGAACACCATTGAGTAGATCACCTAAAACAAAAAGGAGAATGATGACCATAATAAACCCTGTCTATGTGCCCCCTCTTATATGAGTGACAGGCCAGATAGGGAGAACCCACATCATCTGGCCAGCAGGACTGCGGAGTTGCTGTGAGGTGGCACTGCTCAGTGCCTCCTATTCTTTTTGTAAGTGGAAGTGGTTCTTGTGGCCTTCGTGTCTATAGATAATTTACCATATGAGACAGATAACCTATAAGATCTTTGAATTTAAAAAATCTATTCATTTATTGATTTTTATAATATAATCAATGAAAACACCAAAAATCTAACATTAAAACCAAGAAAAACAGTAGTACATTATAGACAGATGATAGATATATCGATAGATAGATAGATAGATAATCTTTTAATTTTTTAAATATTTTTTTCTCTGTTACTGGAGAAATAGAAACCTTTATATAATGGGCTTCACTTGTTCAGAAACGTATGGATATATTTGATTCATGACACACTTTCGTCATTGGTCAAAGCTCAGCCTTCTTTACACACAGCGACAATGAGTTGCATGTTCCTCACTAACAAATGTAACACAAGAGATCTTTTATTTATGGAATACACTTACATTGATTTAAACTAATCACAGACCCTGGTCTATGTTACGTTATGATCCTTTCCCATGCAATGGAATCTCTAGCGTTTATCAATCATTTTTGAAGTAAATAATTTCATATGGTGAATATCCACAAAGCTCTATTCAACACACTATGACTTTCACAGTAACTTTTTGATCCTTTACCATCAAGATACATAGACCTCCAACATTAGAGAAATGTTCGCAGAAACTATGGGGTACACATTCACGTAATACTCACTAGTTATAAAATAAACGCATAAGCTTATGCTGTTTTTTCATGAATGAAAGACTTTTTTGCCAGTGAACCTCAATTGTACAGAACTGGATTAATCATGTTTGTTTCAAGGAACATCACCATCACCGACTGATATGGTTTGGCTCTGTGCCCCTACCCAAATCTCATCTTGAATTATACTCCCATAAATCCCGGTGGGAGATAATTTGAATCACAGAGCAGTTTCCCCCATACTGTTCTCATGGTAGCGAATAAGTCTCATGAGAACTGATGGCTTTATCGGGGGGTTCTGCTTTTGCATTTTTCTCATTTTCTTTTGCCACCACCATGTAAGAAGTGCCTTCTCCTCCTGCCATGATTCTGAGGCCTCCCAGCCATGTGGAACTGTAAGTCCAATTAAACCTCTTTTTCTTCCCAGTCTTGGGTATGTCTTTATCGACAGTGTGAAAACAGACTAGTACAGTAAATTGGTACCAGAAGTGGGGTTTATTGCTGAAAAGATACCCAAAAATGTATGAGTGACTTTGGAACTGGGTAACGGACAGAGGTTGGAAGAGTTTGGAGGGCTGAGAAGAAGACAGGAAAAGGTAGGAAAGTTTGGAACCTCCTAGAGACTTGTTGAATGGCTTTGACAGAAATGGTGATAGTGATATAAACAGTAAGGTCCAGCTTGAGGTGGTCTCAGGTGGAGATGAGGAACTTCTTGGGAACTGGAGCAAAGGTGATTCTTGTTATGTTTTAGCAAAGAGACCGGCAGCATTTTGCTCCTGCCCTAGAGATTTTTGGAACTTTGAACTTGAGAGAGATGATTTAGGGTATCTGGTGGAGGCAATTTCTAAGCAGCAAAGCATTCAAATGGGGGGCTTGGGTGCTGTTAAAAGCATTCCATTTTAAAAGGGAAACAGAGCATAAAAGTTCAGAAAATTTGCAGCCTGGTGATGCAGTAGAAAAGAAAAACCTGTTTTCTGAGAAGAAATTCAATCTGGCTGCAGATATTTGCATAAGTAACAAGGAGCTGAATGTTAATCCCCAAGACAATGGGGAAAATGTGTCCAGGGCCTGTCACAGGTCTTCATGGCATGCCCCCTACATCATAGACCCAGAAGTCAAGGAGGAAAAAATGGTTTGATGGGCTGGGCCAAGGGTGCCCATGCTGTGTGCAACCTAGGGACTTGGTACCCTGTGTCCCAACCACCTCAGCCATTGCTAAAAAGGGCCAAGGTAAAGTTCAGTCCATGGTTTCAAAGGGTGCAAACCCCAAACCTTGGCAGCTTCCACATGGTATTGAGCCTGCAAGCGCACAGAAATCAATAATGGAGGTTTGGGAACCTCCACCTGGATTTCAGAAGACGTACGGAAACACCTGGATGCCCAGGCAAAAGTTTGCTGCAGAGGTGAGGCCCTCACGGAGAATCTTCACTAGGGCAATGTGGAAGGGAAATGTGGGGTCAATGGCCCCACACAGAGTCCCCACTGGGGCACCGCCTAGTGGAGCTCTGAGAAGAGGGCCACCGTCCTCCAGACCCCAGAATGGTAGATCCACAAGCTTGTACCACCATGCACCTGGAAAAGCCACAGACAGGCTTTTCAATGCCAGACTGTGAAAGCAGCCAGGAGGAAGGGTGTACCATGCAAAGCCACAGGGGCAGAGATGCCCAAGACCATGGGAACTCACCTCTTGCATCAGCGTGACCTGGATGTGAGACCTGGAGTCAAAGGAGATGATTTTGGAACTTTAAAATTCAACTGCCCCACTGGATTTTGGACTTGCACAGGCCCTGTAACCACTTTGTTTTGGCCAATTTCTCCCATTTGGAATGGCCGTATTTACCCAATATCTGTACCCACATTGTATCTAGAGAGTAAATAGTTTGCTTTTGATTTTACAGACTCATAAGCAGAAGGGACTTGCCTTGTCTCAGATGAGACTCTGGCCTGTGGACTTTTGGGTTAATGCTGAAGTGAGTTAAGACTTTGGGAAACTGTTGGGAAGGCATGATTGGTTTTGAAATGTGAGGACATGAGATTTGGAGGGGCCAGGGGCAGGATGATGTGATTTAGCTCTGTGTCCCCCCTCAAATCTCATCTTGATCATACTCCCATAATTCCCATATGTTGTGGGAGGGACACGGTCGGAGATAATTTGAATCATGGGGGTGATTCCCCCATTCTGTTCTCATGGTAGTGAGTAAGTTTCATGAGATCTGATGATTTTATCGTGGGTTTCCGCTTTTGCATCTTCCTCATTTTCTCTTACCTCCGCCTCTTCTTCTTCCCAGTCTTGGGTATGTCTTTATCAGCAGTGTGAAAACAAACTAATAACTGGTTCATAATCAACTCTTTTATTTAATTTTTGTATTGATGTATTCATATTTAATATTGAGAAAACTACCATGAACCAACCACCTAACACAAGTGACTGATACAGTAGCCAGTAGCCATATTTAAATTAATAAAAATTAAGTCATATAAAAAATTCAGTTACCCATGAACACCAGCCACATTTCAAGGACTCAATAATCACGTGACTAGTAGCTACCATATTGTGCAGAACAGATTACAGAGCATTTCCATCACTGCAGAAAGTTCTATTGGGGCCATGCTTGGTGGTTCATACCTGCAATCCCAGCACATTGGGAGGTCAAGGCCAGTGGATTGCTTGAGCCCAAGAGTTTGAGACCAGCCTGGGTAACATGGGGAAACCCCATCTCTACAAAAAATACAAAAATTAGCTGGGCATGGTAGTGCATAGCTGTAGTATCAACTACTCAGGAGGCTGAGGGTGTGAAGAGCATCTGAGCTCAGGGAGGTCTGGCCTGGGAAACAGAGTGAGACCCTGTCTCAAGGCAAAAAAAAAAAAAAAAGGTGGGGGGTGTTATAGTCTGGAACCTTTTCTAATGAACCTAATTGGATTAATCATAATCCCCACTCCATGAAACACCATCATTGGTTTATGCTAACACTCTTTGATTTGATTTGATCATTCCTAAAGAAGTTTTAATGAGCAACCATAAATCCAATCTCTTACTCTGTTAATAGAACACTCACATCATCTTTCATCTCTTCGTGTGCTCCTTACTCAGAGTAAATAGCCCAGATTTCTATTTATAGGCAAACGTGTAAATAAACTATGTACATGTACAAAATGAAATATAAAACAGCTGGCAAAGGGAGTGCAACAGGGTAGGCTATTTGTATGGCAGTCAGAACTTAATTAATGATAATCCTTTCATTCTCGGATCACTGTCATCACAAGTCCATGTTCTGGCCTTTTGTTTATTTTATACATTTAGGTAATTATTTATTTTCAGTACTAAAATCAACATCCAACATGTCCCCATGCAAAAACCAGAATATTAACTAACTGTTTAACCAATGCATTTACTTTTTTTTTTTTTTTCAGATGGGAGTCTTGCTCTGTTGCCCAGGCTGGACTGCAATGCTCTTGGCTCACTATAGCCTCCACCTCCCAGGTTCAAGCGATTCTCCTGCCTCAGGCTTCTAAGTAGCTGGGATTACAGGCACACACCACCACGCCCAGCTAATTTTTGTATTTTTAGTAGAGACGGTGTTTCACCATGTTGGTCAGGCCGGTCTCGAACTCCTGACCTCGTGATCCACCTGCCTTGGCCTCCCAAAGTGCTGGGATTACAGGCTTGAGCCACCGCACCCGGCCAATAATGCATTTTTAAAAGGACCTTCGATGAACTGAATCGGAATAATCATAATTTGAGGATAATGAGTATTGTACTTTCCTCCCACATGGTCTTGAGGTCTGTCTCAAGAGAGTAAATATAAATTCTAGCTCTGCCCTGATGGAGATCCAGGAGAGGTGGTCATGGGTGTTTACAGTGTATTTTTTATAGGGTACGTCTTTATCCTGGCAAAAAGTGTAATGCCTAAGTATCCTACCTAACCCGTTACCAGGTGTCCCTCTCAAAGGAAACTCATTTACACTGGCAGTCCCCCTATGATTCTTGTCTGATCTGTGTCCAGTCTACTCCTAGCCCCTCTCTAGGAGATCCCCAACCAGGAAAGAAGTTTGATTCAAGTGTATTGGTCAGGTGAGACACAGAGGAAGCAAGTCAACAAAACACATGAAATGAGACAACAGAAGCGGTTTATTACTTACAGATCCTGCATGCCTCACACGGCCACCAGGAAGGGGAAAGCCTGTACTGTGGTCTAGGGCATCTCCCAAGCAGGCTTCCTTCAGAGTTCTCACTGGTGAGTTCAGAGCAAGCCACTATATCTGTGTGGTCCACACAGGCTGTGGGGTCAGTGAGGAAAGTCAAGTGGGCTGCGTCTGGCGGTTCGTTAGGGAGGCAGTGTCCTGGAAGCGGCTGTACAAGGTAGTTATATCTGGATCTGTCACGTTAAGAACTGGGAGGATGTGAAGAACTGCAAATTGTGTCAAGGGTGAGTAAACCTGCTTCTGGAATTAGAAAGTTAAACTTGGGTTCAAAATGGATGCTTAAGCTACATACAATAAAAAGAATTTACTACAATGAGATACGATCACCTTTGTCCTATGTTTGCCCTCTCTTGTTTTATTCGTGTGTTTGTTCATTCATTCATTTGCTTATTTATGAACACCCTTGAATAACTCTCCAGACAAGATTTAAGAACATCAACTATTAATTACATTTTCCTTAAGTACCTTATCTACCCAAGTAAGAGTCAATTTCTCATAAATATTTCATGACTACATAAACTATGATTTGTCCATTCTGTGCAACAGACAGCAACTATTAGAAAAATGAACACCCTGGATCATTTTTAATGGCCTTTATTTGTGTAGAATTTAATTAATAAGCCTCACTGTCTATGAAATATCATCCTCATTATCTATGCTTGGCCCTTTTAAATTTTACTTATCCCTTTAAACAAAAATCATGAAAGAACACTGACGAATTCTAGTCAACCAGCAGAAAACTACCAAGACCTCACTTCATTATGTGGCCCTCTGCCACTGACTTAACACCCCAAACTTCTTCATTAGGGAAGCGTTGATGCAAAAATGTAGCGCATAAATTAACAGCAGAATGCTGCTGAAATGAATGAAACAGCATAAATATTTGTGTTTTAATGTCTTGCAAATTTGTAGAGCTGTGTAATCATAAATCTTAGGTCAGGGTACATTGTCTTCAATAGTTCATGCTTGACTCTCTTGATCTTCTTTATACATGCACCTATTTATGTTTAATTACCTCATAGACACATATAAACCCACCCCAGCCTGAAAATATGAAAAATAAACATAACACATATTACATAGGTGATATATATATAGGATACATGTATAAACATAACATGTGTGATATATATGTAGGATACGTACGTGTGTGTGTGTGTGTTCCTTTTCTTTGCTAATTTGTTACAGAGGACAGTTCAGTAATATTATTTTTATTTGATGACAGTTACACTAAATGAAATTAATCACCCTTGGTTCATGACATTCTCATCACACCGGTCATCTTTGCCTTCATTTGTGTGTCCATTCACGTTTAATAATGCAATCAACAACCACCAACCAACCGCCCAACTTCAAAACACCAACACTAAACATTACTTACATTGGTTGGCTCATGGCTTGTTTCTCATAGAGTTCACAATCAAGACCTTCATTGACAAAGTATCATTAATTTCACTCTGGAGCCTCCATTCTGTGGAACACAAGGCTGATATTGAAAAGAATTTTAAAACCTAGATATTTTTTAATGGCCGTCAGGTGAGAAGCACAGGATTAATTATAATCTTTGCTTCATGACAGTCTCACCACTGGTCCAAGCGTACCTCTCGTTGTATGTAATCATTCATCTATTATTACAATGAGTGTATTTACCATTCTAATCAAAAACAAGAATCATGACTATCACAAACAAACGTCCCTCTGCATCTTACCCAAGAAGGGACCAACCCAGATATTCTTCCTAACGGACGCAGATAATGCGGACTTGGAGTAACAATCATCTTCAACTCCTACTCACCCTTTTCAACGTTTTCCTGGATTTTTTTAAATACAACAAACACAGATGAACCCACCACTGATCTAGAACAAAAATATTGATTAGTACATCCAAATACCACCATCCACTGAGGTAAAAGTCTTGTTTTATTTTAAATCGTCCACAATTGTACATAAATGGATAAATCTTAGTCTTTAGGTCATAAAACGCTGTCTTTGTGGTCCATTCTTGGTACTCGACACTTCTGTACTCATGTAAGTCATTTTTAACTATGCAGCCACTACCCTTCAAGTCACCATTCAGCCCAAGACCAATGACTCTTCTGTATAGTTGTTCATACACTTCCCACCCACAGCCTCAACAGCCTGGAACCTGGGTTTTCTTTTATAATAACCTCACAGAGGCAGAGAATAGAAAGGTGTTTACCAGACCTTAAGTATTCTCACTGCACACACAGAAAAAGGGAACTACATGAGGTGATGGATACGTTAATTCGCTTGATTACGGTAATCATTTCACAATATATGTGCGTATCAAAATGTCGCACTGTCCAACTTTACAAATACATACAATACTTGTTCATCAATGATCTCTTTATAAAGCTGGGGAGTGGGTAACACATTGCCATCACTGGTCCATGCTTGCCTGTCTCTAATTTTGTTAATGCATTCATTCATTTTTAACTGTTCAATCAACGCCCATGAAGCCGGATTTTATTTGTCCGCAGTCACCTTCTTTGGCAGAGAAACCCCAGTGTGCCCATTCTATGGAACACAAAGCCCATTAAAAGAAAGAAAATAGCCTACGAGGCCTTTTCTGCTTGTTAATGTCAGGTTACCAGACCTGGATTAGGTATAATCCTTTGCCCAGAACACATTCTCAGAATTGTTCCATTTGGGGCCTTTATTACCTTATTTCTTTATTCCTTGATTATTTTTAATAACAAAATTAATAGCCACAAACCACTCTGATCTCTTTTTTTAATGTCCCTCGGTTGTGGAGAATTAATCACCATCCCTGGTTTACGACCCACTCCTGTCCTTGCTGCCAGCATGCCTCTCTCTTAGTGTATTGATTGTTAAAACCACCCTTAAAGTAAAATAAATAAATTAAAAAAAAAATAACACTTTAATAAACATCTTTAAACGTAAAAAAAAAACCACCCTTGACAATTACCACTGATGGTTCCCACCTCCATCCCTCCCCATCTCATGCCCCTGCCTCCCTCTACCTTAAACAATCACTCCCAAATCTCCTGGATACAATCCCTTTCCAAATATATGTTTATATATATGTAAATAAATTTACAAGATATATGTAATATATGTATTCTTAAATATTTTCTGTGGATCAGTGGCTTGCAGGATTTTTCAACTGAAGGCTAAAAAGAAGGGTCAAGGGAGAGTGTGAAATATACAAGCTTGAGCTCAGAGCACACCCACCACTGGGGAGTTGGTAAAAGCCCTCAAATCCAGATGGCTGAGACTTCGACCCCTATGCTCATGTCACGAGCCAGTGAGCCCAGTGGTTGCAGCACATATGCTAACACGTCAGTGCCCACCTCCCAAATCCAGCCTCAACCCCCCACTAGCTGGGCAACATCAGGAAAGCAAACGAACCTCTCTGTGCCTGTTTTGCCCTCAGCAAGATAGTCACAGCACTAGTCCCCAAGCAGAGTTACGTTATTATTTGCACACCAATGGCAACCAGGTTAAAAAAAAAAAAATCCTCCGCCCCACCTCTGAGCCCCTCCCTCACCCAAATCTTGGCTCCCTCTGCAGCAGCTCTGGTGTTAGACAGACAGACAGACCAGGTTCCACCCCAGCAGGCACTCGTGAGCTGTGTAACTGCAGAGACGTGACCTGGCTTCTCTGTCTTGTGCCCCGACTTGTACGATTTGTAGAATGAGGAACGCGGCGCCCTCGTGGGTCCAGCCGGAGGGTGACCTGAACTATCGCCCGCCCCTCAAGTAGCCCGCCTTGCACACCTGTACACACCCACCCTATCCCTGTCCCATGCTGCCCACCCCACTGCTCAGACAGTCCCCAGTTTGATCAAAGAAATGAATTAGCTCAATGCTCAGGTCAAGCCAAGGGTTTGGGGGAAGGATGGGACTCGGGCAGGAAATTGTTGGGGTCTGTTCTTTTTTGGACATGCCATCAGAGCTTAAACAAATGCCCTGAAAAACAGAAATCCAACTAAGGGATGAGCTTTGGAAAATGAAAATTCATTTTGTGAAATGGGACTGCCCTTGGGGAAGTCTATGCCATGAGATTCTTGATGTCCAACTTGATTCCAAGAAACCAAAGGAGGCTTCACTATGGGCCTCACCACCCATACACAGCCAGTTTCCTTCCTACCCTCCCGGCCTGTCCTGGGCAGGCATCACCTGGCACAACTGTTCTCAGAGCGACTCAGGGACCTAAAAATAATTCTGTATATTATATAGAGTTATGGTCTACGTGGATATTGTCATATATACATCAATCCGTCCATTGGGGGACTTTCATAAGGGAGTCGTGGGAAGACCACCGGTGTGGGGACTGGCTTCTGCCTTCTTCATACTGTGGGGTCCCTTGGGGAAGGCCTGTCCCCTCCCTGAGCCTCAGGTGGCAATCCTCCCACCAGCCTTTCCTCCCTCCCAAGTGGTGTGAAAATGAAAAGCATCACACTTTAAGTTCAGGTTCCCTCCACGCAGCAAGGATCGTTAATATTGTACCTCCTGTACCCAGCACGTAGTGTTCACAGCATGCCTCAGCATACATTATCTCGTTTGATTCTTACAACAGTCCTGCGAATTAGACATAATAATCATAATTAGCCAATATTTATTGAATGCATACTCTGTACCAAGCACCACGCTGCCTACTTTGCATACATTGACACACCTCTGGGGTGGATACAATTCAACAGTATCTTATAAATTTCCCCCCCCCCCGCCATTTTTGAGCATGCACTTTGTACTGGTACCGGGTCGGAGTGCTGGGGATACAGCAATGGGCAACACGGACAGATCCCCATCCTATGAGAATTCACATCCCTGTGGGTGGATAGGAGCAGAAGATCATCAGAAAAGGTGAGTGTAATGCATGGGATAAAAGACGGTGAGAACTGGGGAGGAAAATAAAGCAGGAAGGGGACAGGCAGTGGCGCGAGGGAGGAAGGCTCACTGCGCGGATGGTATTTGAGCAAAGACATGACTAGTGCTATTTTATACCTAAGGAAACGGACTCGGGGAAGTCAGATGACTTGTAAGTGGTCCCCCAGCAAGGAGATGCTGAGCCAAGGAGGCGAACACGGGCAGTGTGGCTCCGGAGCTGCCCTTTCCTCTTCTTCCCCATGCCTCGTTTTGGCAGCCAACTCCCACCGCCAGCCCGCAACTCGAGTTTGAGAGTAAACCACGAGGCGGGTGTGAAGGTTTTTCTGACCTCCCGCACAGGCAGCCCCAAAAGCAGAGGGAATCCCCAGGCTGTACCATTAGACCTGGATGAGTGAATAAACTGTCCTTCTTGGAGGAGCTGTAGCAGTTACAGTTCTCACAGGACGTGCCCAGACTCTGGAGTCAGACAATGCTGGGATCACAGTGAAACTCAACATGCTAAACCCATATCCTCCCACCTGGCAGTTAGGGTATCCGATGGCCCCCCAGAGCCACCCCACACACAGCCACATGCCACCAGGGCTCAGGTTACAGACATGCTGTACCAGGAATGGGAGGAGGCCACCCAGTCCTCAAGCCCCACATGGTAAGAGATTCAGAATGTTTCTAGCTGGCCGCCTCCAAAAGAACAAGTTGAAAAATGTTTCTAAAATAACTATTTTCTCCCCCCAAAAAACAAGTAGGGAAAGAAGTTTAATGAAATCATACATGAGAACTGGAAAACCTTGCCCACTACTGCTAGAAACCATGAAGTTTAATGAATTTCAACCTCAGAAACTTCAATTAAGAGACTTTTAATCATTTGTCTCGCCTTTTACCTACTCAGCTTCTCCCCAGCTCCCATCCAACTCCGGTGTAACTCCCTACACCGCAGGGAAATTCCTTCACAGGAGTTTCACCGCTCCTAGGGCTTAATCTTTCCTTAGATGGATCATGTCTCTTCGCTGTATGGAACTCTTACTTCCATCACTAGAACTTCTAGTTTTAAATTAGTATTTCTGTTTCAATTCCATTGATTCTCTCTCCAAAGACAAGCTCACAGGCCTCTCTGAGCACCTGTTCAGCCATTGATTCTTACCTGACAATGATATCAAATGACATCTCAATAACAATACTTACAACAACTGTCATTTTCATTGTAAGTAAATATTTGTTGAATGCTCATCATCTGGAAGCATTCTTTTTTTTTTTTTTTGGAGACAGGGTTTCCCTCTGTCACCCAAGCTGAAGCGCAGCAGCACAGCCTTGACTTCCCAGCAATCTTCTCATCTCAGCCTCACGAGTAACTAGGACCACAGATGTGCACCACTACACCCAGATAATTTTTTACCTTTTCTGTAGAGATTGGGGGGGTCTCCCTATGTGTCTCAGGCTGCTTTCAAACTCCTGGGCTCAAGCCATCCTCCCACCTCAGCCTCCCAAAGTGCTGGGATTACAGGCATGAGCCACCCTGCCCAGTCTGGAATGCTCTCTTTTAAGGAATTTATATGTTTGCCTGATTTAATTCTCAAGTACTAATTAGTAAGGTACTATCAGTATTAGTAAGGTACTACTGGTACAACTGAAGAAACTGAGGCACAGAAATTAAATATGTTGTCCAAACTCACAAAAGTAGTCAATGGCACAGCTGAGGTGGAAACCTTAGCACCTGGAATGTGTGAGGCAGGGCCCACACATTCTGAGCAGGTTCTCAAAACCTGTCTGCTAACATTATATGCAGCGAGGCTCACTGATGGCCATTCAGACCTCCATCCCGTCCCCTCCCTCCTTGCCTTGCACAGGAGTCACTTTTACATACGCTACCATTAGCATTCAGTCAGAATGCGAGGTGCCAGGAATCTACTTTGACTTGATTAATTGTACTGTAGTGATATGTGTGGTCCTTGTTTGTGTGATCATTACAAACAGAACACACTAGAGATATTACGTGGGAAATAAACTTGGATTTGATTGGATGAGAAGTTCAGCTCACTGACAGACCAAGAGAGTGAGTCCAACATGAGTGAACCCCAAGGCATGCAGAGGTTTTCAGACATGGTCATAGAAAAGGAGCTAAACAGGTTGAGGGGTGAGTTTGGAAGGAAAGAAGACTAGAGTTCAAACGCTGGGTCCGCACTGGCTCCCTCTATGGTTTCGGGTAAGTCACTTACCACTCCTACACTCTGGTTTCCTTTTGCTTAATTAAGAATGGAAATTGCTATCATGGAGGGTGGCTGTGATGATTTAGAGGAGATAAAATTATGCCAAGTGCCAATGAAGGGCTGTGTATGCGGTTGAGGCTTAGGGCTTAGTCATCCAGGAGAGCAAGTGGAAAGGCAGATGCCTGCTCTTCCTCAGCGCTGCGTAAAAACAGCAGAGACAGGGAGTTGCCACTGAGCAGCTCACGGAGCACTACAGCTAGGACTTGGTCCCTGTAAGCTGCCATCCCACTTGTTGTCCCACAGCCACCTGAGCCAGCCAGTGCGCTCAGACGCAGAACAGAAGGCAGGAGCTTCACCAGCAAGCTCCACTCAGAGGGAACCTCTCTTCAAAGATCAAGTAAGCCTTTGATCTTAGTGAGAAATTGACTATTCTCTCTCATTGCTCTCTCCTTCCACCACCTGTGCTTCAGTTCACTCATCCATCTTACCAGCTTTCATCAGGTAGCCAGCCATCTCTCCAGCTATGCGTGCATCTTGATGCAGCCATCCATCCCGCCAAAGACCTCACATCCATCCTTCCACCTCTCCATTTTGCAGAGGAATCACACAGACCTAAGTTGGAATCCTGGGTCTTGCTTCCCAGCCGACTTTGGGCAAGTTACTAACCTCAAAGTCCTCTAGTCTGTAAAATCAAGGGAAATCAGATGTTGCCAAGGTCAGGATTTAAAGAGAGTAGAGACATACCCGTGTCTGGCCTCAGCAAAGTCACTAAATGTTCATTCCCTCTGTTTCTGCAGTCTGGTTGGGATTTATGCAAGGAAAAAAAGCCACCGCATCTTGCATGACATGTTGAGAAGTGCTTTTTAGAAATTATCTGCGATGTTTTAGTGGCGTGCTTTCTCCGGCGGCACCCTGGGCTGGGCACTGGCCAAACTGGTTTGGGGTGGTGGTCCCCCCGGACTCAGAGCAGAGAGTGCCATCTAGTGGATAGGCACCTGCCGGGGTCCCCTGTTGGTCCCAGGTCACAACCGCTGAGGTCAGGCAGCTGAACGGTGAGCCAGGAGGTCCAAGCGAACCAGACCCCCGACTGTAGGCTGCCCTTTTTGGGATGGGTGCGAGGGCTGTTTTAATCACTCAGGGAGCCTGGGCTGCCAGGACCTTTGTTTTATGGGCGATAGCCAGCTGTGTTTTGCCTGTCTGCCTCCCCCTGCCCAACTCCCCTTTGAAGATTTCTGGGAAAAAGAATTACTCTAGCAGCTACTGTTTGCTGAGTGTTTCTAACATATTAGACATGAGGCTGAACTTACCCCATTTTGCAGTGAGAACACTGGGCTCTGCTGAGATTGGGTTTCTCATTTAAGGTCCAGGCAGACATTCAACCCCTAAATTTCAACCCCTACTTACCTTCTAGAGCCCCAGATCCCCTTGAAAGAGCAGTAGATCCTTTCAACACTGACTTGACCAAGCCAACTGTAAAAGAAATTTATGAGTCAATCGAGAGTACTTGAATGCGGCAGAGATGTTGGATGATATTAAGGAAATGCTATTAATTTTTTACCTGTGATAATGGTATTGTGGCTATATTTTTAAGAAAGAAAAGCTTCTTATTTATAAATACAAACAAAAAATGCTCAGAGAAAACAATATGGTGTCTGAAATTCACTTGGAAGTAGTCCAGGGGTAGGAGCGGAGGCACAGGAACAGAGGCAGAGTTTAGGGTTTAGATGACACAAGAGGGGGCAGGGTGTGATGGCAACCATTTCTGGGTGATGACAATATGAAAATTGAGCAAACTGTGTAAAAATATGTACTATTTTCTCTACTTTTGTGTTGTTTGAAATTTCCTATAATAAAGGGAGTTTTAAATCAACAAGTGAACATACAGTGCGGGAGATGAAGGGCTGGGGGTGGAGGGTGCCGTTTACAAGAGCAAAGGGGCCTGGGGGATGAGAGAAAGCTTGCCAGATAGCAGGGAACTGATTCACAGGGGCAAATCCCCCAGAGTGAAAAGGGACCCAGAGGGGCTGGATCCAGAGGAAAGAGAACCATTCCGCGTTCGGTGGACTGAGGACGATGTACCAGGGTGCAGACTGCTGCAGAAGCCCAGAGACTCCCTGAAACCCCCACCCAGCCCTCCCCACCCCACCCTCACTCCCAGCCCACCTCCCCAAGCCCTCCAGTTCCCTCCCTGACCCCAAGGCCCTTCCCTGGCTGGAAAAGGGCCTGAGGGTACCTCTCTTCGAGGTGGACTGGTGCCTGACGAGCCCTCCCCTGGGACCCTGGTCCCACTTTGGTTACTGGGACAACGTAGTGTCCCATTAGACTGGCTTAGAAGGAAGACTCTGGGGTGGCCGGCTCAGTCATGCTGGGAAGGATTCAGCTGTCTAGCTTTCAAATGCTTTCTTTATTTTTTTTTTTCTTTTTTCTGGCTTTTACTTTTTTTATTTTTATTTTTTTGAAAGATAAGAGTTGATGGTTTTACCCTAAAACTGTGTGCCAAGCCGCTCTGGCTATGCTCAGCCCCACTCTTCCCCGTATCTCTGGAGCCCTCCTTTCCCTCCGTCCTTCATGGGCTGCGAGCTGACAGGCGCCCACCCCAGGTCCACACCCACCTCCCTCTACCCTGGGTCCGGCCGCCACGCCCGGCCTCCTCCCCCACTCTTCTCTTTCTGGCCCCTCGGCTTCCTGGGCGCACGGCCACCACGCAGCGCCTGGAAGCCAGCGCTCCCTCCCTCCCTCGTCTCATTCCCCACTTTGGAAAGCCACCGGACAGGACCGCTCCGGGGCAGCTCCCGCAGCCCGCTGCACTGCAGCGCAGCCGGCCGTGAGGGAGGGGGCGCCCTGCAGCCCCCGCCCCCGCCGCGACCACCGCGCCGGCGCCCCCAGCCCCCAGCCCCGGCTCGGCTCCCGGGCTCCCGGCTCCCCCGGACCGCACGCATCTGTCGCAGTTAAAAGCGCCGCTGCCTGAGCCAAAGCGCCGGCCCCTCTTGCCTGTCCCCCTCCTCACTTTTCGGGCTCAAAAATGTGGCCCAGGCAGCCCCCTTGTGGCACGTGGGGGCGCCACAGACGCCTGGCTGGTGTCTGAAGAATTCAGACTGTCTGATTCCACCGCACCGTGAGTTGGCACAAATCTTCGGTGGCCCAACTCCTACCCAAGCAGAACTCCGCTCAGCGGCCTCTCCGAGTTGGGGGGGCACCTCTCCCCTCCCCTCTCCCCGTCCACACTTCTCCCTTCTCCCTCCAGGAAGGAACGGAAGGAACTCTCCTGTTGAATATTGCTCTGACAAGCAGACAGGTGTCTGGCAACCGCGATCGTGGTGGTGGGGGAAGAGGGGGGCCGGGAAGGTGGTGGGAAGGGGGGCTTTTCTTGAAATGGTGTTTGGTTTCCATCTCTTATCTCCCAAATGGGAAACCGAGGTGCGGGGAGGGCCATAGTCCCTGTCTGTGTCAGAGTCAAGGCTGCAGAGCCTCCTCCAAGTCCAGCCTGGGGCATTTCCCTGAGGTGCCGGGGCCGCCCTTAAGCCGTGCCCCCTCTTCCCTCTCCCACTTGCCCAGCCCCAGCCCCTCCAGATCTGGTTCTCCCTGTCCGGAAGCCCCGGAGGGCCCCTGGATGTTCTGCGTCCTCTCTAACTCACTGTCCACACAAACAAGCCCAGCCCCCTCTGTCTCTATCTGCAATCTACTTGCAGACAGGCAGGGCCCTCTCCACATCAGGTTAATAATGCCATTTTCATAAGCCTCTGCCCATAGGTGCTACCACCTAATTTTGAATCTGCCCTTCAAACGGATTGGGCCACAGAGGAGCTGGGATCTCAAGCACCGCTGGGAGGTGCTTATAACTAATCAATCCGTCCCCTGCCCACCCACACCCCCCCAGCACTCGGCACAGGCTCGCTGAGCAGCCTTCAGCAGCAGGGTGTGGTGGGGAGCCTCGGAGAGTCTGGGGTTCCATCCTGGCCCGGCCTCACACCAGCTGAGAGACGGTGAGTATAGGACTTTGCCTTTCTGTGCCTCAGTTTCCTCATCAATCTAATGGAGCCCGTGAGACCAGTATGCAGGGTTATTGCCCGGGTGACTTCTTTGCAGACAACCCAGTTCTGGACTTGGCTCCAAGATGGGGCTGCGTAAATCTCCACGCCTTCATCCCCTCTTGATCACCTCAATTTCCAGTGACTTAGTCCCTGCTTCTTTCCCCCACCAGACCGACTGAGCTTCGACGACAGGAAGCCACTGGCATCACTTCATCCCAGCCTCACGCTCGGGACTGGGCCCGGGGAAGGTAGGCACGGTGCGGTGGCTTGGGGGACGAGTGTGTGGATGGGTGTCTATTCTATAGTCTACAGGATGCCCGGACCCCACTGGGTTTCTCCTCCCCAGACCCCTCCCTGTCTAAACTGGCCCTTCAAGGAAGCTGCTGGGAAAAATGTTCCTTTATGCCTTCATGCTTTACCCCTCGTGCTGTTATATACAATGCAAATTCTCAGTCTATTAAATGCAGATGTGGGCTCTGCATGTCATTTCTGCCGCCTGCTGCATCCACTGTGAGTTCTTCAGGCCAGGGGCTGCCTCCGGCTGACTTGATTTGTGCGATTAAGCCAGCAGAGGGGACTCTGCCAGGAGAGGTCCCCGTTTGTATTTGGAGCAGGGTCTTGAAAGGCCAGGTTGTTTTCTGTCTTGCGACACTTGTTACATACCTCGCTCCCCCTGGGTCCCATCGTCTACTGCACAAGCACTGATGAAGTGTCTGATGTGTGCAAGGCTACACTTATCTCATTTAGTCCTCAGTTCAAGCCGGTGACGGGGAAACTCTCATCTCCATTTCACAGGGGAAAAGCCGAGACTCTGAAAAGTAAAGGGAATTGTCTTGCAGCTAGAGAGCCGGTCTGTCTGGCTCAGGGGACCCCAGCCCTGCCGCGGCTGCCTGCTGCGGCTCCTGCTTCTGCTACAGGGCTGACCAGGCTAGCCAGGAGTCCAGCAGCTCCTGCAGAAAAGGCAGGGGGCTGCATAGAGAGTGTTCTCCCTGGCAACTGGAAAAGGGGCCATAAAACAGCCCGAGAGGGCTCAGAAGCTGCTGAACAGATAGACACGGAGCAGCTGGCCACAGGAGGGGAGCACCACGCCCTCCCCTGGGCTTCCTGCAGAACGGCAGGGCAAAGGGCTCTGTCCCAGGTCTAGAGGGGCAGAGGCAGAGGTGTTAGCAGAGGTCCAGAGGCCCCCAAACCTGTTTCCACCATTGGTGGGGGCTGTGCTATTCAGCACAGAAAGGAGAAGACTGAAAAGAGAGGGAGCCTGCAGCCTGCAGAGATCGGAGGGCAGAGGGGGCTAGGGGACTGCCGCACAGCCAAGGAGAAGGCAGATACAAAGGGCGGGGGAGGGCTCAGCAAAGCAGCTCCGTATGCCAGCCCTGAGCAGGCTGCTTGCAGGGAGAGGGAGCTCCCTGTTACAGGAGGCATCCGAGCCGAGACAGGCAGGCTGGTGCATGGCCGAGGAGGCTGCAGCATGGCTTCCTGCCCGGGCTGGCAGCCCACATGTTTAGGCCTTTAGGAAGCTCCCACAGCACCAACTCCCGGGCAGGCGAGTGGGCAAGTGAGCGAGGTGGCCAAAGGGGACCAGGTAGGGGTCAGTGCAAGGCTGTACAGCCTCTCCCAAGTAGCCTGCCCTGGGCTAAATGGCAAAGGCACAGAGATGGTTGGCGGGGTGCCTCTGTCCCATTGAGGCAATGAGGGAGAGGAGCAGAGAATGGGGGTGAGTGCCCAGGGCTTGGTGGAGGGAGGTGAGGACTGTCCTGCAGCCAACTCCCCTCTCGAGGGCCAGGACACCTAGAGTGGCCAAGCACCTTCCCTGGCTCCTGGGCCCACAGAGCTGGCCTGTGTCCCCTCTGGGACAACAGGCTGGCAGACTGATGGAATGAGTAGAGGGAGGGGGTCTGGCAGTTTCAGGGGCCCTATTCTGGAGGATGAGCAGCAGCCACAGAGACAGCCAGCTGCCAGACTGTGACTTGGATGTTCTGGGGACTCGTGAAAGCTCCTCGCACAGCAGCAGGGCTGGGGGGCCTGCCTGCTGATGAATGCAGCCCACACTGTGGTCAGGAGCCACCTTTTCTGGCCCATTCACAGGGGTTCGGTTCCCAGGAACTGTGGGTGGACAGAGCCTTTATCAGGGGACTTCTGCTAGAGAAGCCTCTGTTTTGCGGTTTCTAAAGGAGTTTTCTTGCCTTTGTTCCCAGCACAGGCACTCAGCATGTGTGTGTGCGTGTGTGTGAGAGCATATGGGGGATGGCTGTGAGGCCAGCCAGGGCTCCTTGTCTGTGAAATGCCCAGGGTCCCCAGGAGCAGAGATGCACCTCTGTGGGGCAGAAAAATTTCAAGGAGGGCAGAGCCATTAAAGGATAGAGCCCTTCCTCACTGCCGCCTCATTGTCCCGCTCCTGACAACCCAATCTATCAGCCCTGGGGTCGCCACAGCTGCCCTGACCCGCCGTGGGGGGGCAGCATCGCGTTGCTGGTGGAGCGTGCAGGCTGGTTTGCCTTCCCGGGAACAGACAGACAGACGGCCCTGGCAGCTCGGTTGGGCACTGCAAGCCCTTCAGGAAAAACTGTTTCTCAGAGCCTCCGTTTATGTTGGTCTTGTTGGTGTTGCTGTTTTAACCTATGAAAGGGGCGATCTGAAGCTGCTGGTGTGAAAATGTTTGGGAGAGTGACGTTTACATAAATGGGGGAGGGGTGCAGAACGAGAGGCACCCACCTGGGAAATTCTGTGAACAGGGATTTCTGGTTCAGGATAGCTGGTGGTGCAGAAACAGTTCTGAAGGGCTTTGGCATAGATGTGAAAAGTCACCCACCCAAATCCCTATTTAGAGGCAACCGCCATGGGGTAGCAAGCTCTTTAGCCCTTGCCGGCCAGGGAGAGGACAAGTGTCCCTACCCCTTTTTTGCTCTGGGTCCCTTGCCCTGTGCTGGAGGAAGTTAGGACATGGGTTTCTGCCTGAAGCGCAGGAAGAAACTGCAGAGAGCTGGGCAGCCCTACATAGAGCCTCGGAGAAATATCCCCCGTGTCAGACGTGCCCAACCAGGCTCACGCTCCCAAGTAAATAAAGCAAACATTTCGGAGAGTGGCGCCTTTGTGCACAGTGGCCGAGGAGGTTCACTTTTGTGTAAAGGCAATGTGCAAGTCATACACCCACTAGTGCGGCTGGACCAACGCACAAAAAGCTCATTTAGGCTGAGCCCAGCCCAGGGAGAATTTTCTGTGAAATTTAGGAGAAGTCAGGTTTAGCCAGAAGTTCTTCCAGGAATTATGAACCTCTGGAGACTGTAACCACTGTTCCTTCTGAGCGACCCTTGCCAAAGTCTATAAAATATGAGCCTCAAAAAAATCTGCCCAAGGAGCACTCTGACTTTTTATACGTTATTTACGTAAAAATAAACTCTTCCCAAACTTTTTTGGAAAGCCGGATGAAAAGCGGTGGGGCACCCCTTCCCTGGCCCCCAGGTGTTGGGGAAGGTACACGTTTGTTTCCCTGGGAAGGTGTCTGGGAGGGGGTGAAGCGCCAGCTTTTATTTCCCCCTCGCGTTCTCTCTGGAGTTTTTGTTTTCCTCTGTTGGGTCTCCCTGCCCTGAAAGGGAGCGGCTGCCTGTCTCCAGGAGGGGCTAAGCATTTTGTGACGGGTAAGATGCGGAGAGCCACCGAGTTTTGCCGGGTACTGTGTGTTGGCTGCTGTGCTGGATGATTTATTTGCGTTATTTCCTCATTGAGATCTCAATAGCTCTGTGTGAGAGAGATTATGAGTCTTTTTTTTTTTTTTAATATCAGGAAACCAAGGCACAGAAACACTTGGGGATTTGCCAAGGACATGCAGCCCGATGTCTGTTCGTAGCTGGGTCTGTGCTCAGGGTGGCTCGCTCCCTACAGTGCCTCGTCTCCCCTCCCCTGGGAGGGAAAAAAAGGGACGAAAAGCCCAGAACACTGCCAGTGCCTCCTGCTACTCCTGACAAGCTCCCAAGGGGGATGCTGCCTAGCCTCATAGCCCCTCTCCCCCAGAGCCTGCGCTCTTTCTAGAATATAACTCTGTCCCAGAGGTCCACACGCTCCCTCTCAGCCCTGTCTTACCCCAGAGCCCCTCACCGCTACTCCAGTCGTCACATGTCCTTCTCCTGTTTTGGGTCCAGACCCCTGGCAAGGAGAAGCCATAATGGCAATCAGCCATTTCCAACCTATAATCACGCCCAAATGTCATCCTCAAAACTCACAACACTGAGATGCAACTCCTGCCCATGCACCCCATAACCCTGGGTTCTGGGGCCCTGCACACAGCAGGCAGGGGAACCTGGCATGGAACAGGCTGGGGCAGTGGGGGGATGCCAGCCTGACCCCACCCAGAAGGCTGTTTGCAGCTTTACAACACTGCAGCCTTACCCCGCGCCACAGGGCCGACAACATGATCCTCGGACATTGCCCATCTGCCCATCGGTGCAAGAAAGAATTCGAGGCAGTTTTCACTTAGGCAGAGTCAGATCCAGGCAACACTGGGGTGCCCAGGGCTCTAGAAAGGGACAAAGGAAGGGGGTGATGAATATTTTCATTAATTCTAGAAAAATGCAAAACATTCCCTTTAACTGGGAAGAGCATGTCAATGAGGCATCCCAATTCCAGGGACAGGGCTTTGCTGTGCTTTTGAACATGGTGTTTTGGGGCCACAGGTAACTTTGAGCTCCCCAACAGGAATATTGCAAGCCTGCTCTTTAAGGCCGCGGAGAAGCTGCCTAAAAAGGCATGGCCAAGCAGGGAACCCTGAGAGGAGCAGGGAGCTCCATGGAGGCGAGGTGCACCTGGAGGGAACGGGAGAGGCGAGGGGCTGAGGCTGGCAAGTTCCAAGCCAGACCCTAAAGGGTCTTCCATGCCAGGATAAGGCCTTATTTTTTGGACTCCATCCGGCAGCTCCAGAAAGTCAGATGGAGGCTTTAAAGCAAGACAGGAACAAGGTCGAAATGCCATTTTAGAAAGATCACTCCATGAAAATAAACTTTTGCAAACAATTTTAACCCACCACACCATCTCTAAGAAGCCGGGGAAAAGGAACAGTCGAGGATGTGTTTACAGATTTAGCTGCAAGAATGCTCACTGCAGTGTCATTGGTAACAACAAAAAAAGGGGGAACAGCTTAGATCTTTTTTATCAGGCATCGGTTGAGCAGAATTGTATTAATGAAAACCTCAATTTGTGACACGCTTCCTCACTGATCTGCATAAAGACCATTTTTATTTTATGTATTCTTTTTTTAAAAAATGACTTAATGAACACCTATGAATCGGTGACCCACTCTGACAGCTCGGACCGTGACCAAAGCTTCTGTCTGCTCATTCCCCGCCCCCGGAGCACTTTCAGCTGGGGTTTTCAACAGTAGAGGAGAGCGAAATCAACAATGGCATATACATACCATGGAATATTAAACAGCTCTTAAAAAGAATGAGCAGCCAAGACCTATTGTCTTCTAATGGACCTCAGTATTTTGTGCAGAACTGGATTAATCATCATCCTTTGTTCAGAAACACCGTCTCATCATTGGTCCAGAAAGGCCCCCTTTTATTTTGCTAATTTATGCACTGATATATTCATCTGTAATAATGTCATACACCCTCATGAGCCCACTCCCCAAACCCAAATCTCAGAAATTACTTACACCTGCCTCCACAAGTTGCCCCCACTGGGGAAAAGGACCTGAGGCTTTCATGCCAGGAATCAGGTCATTGAATAAACTCCGGTGTGCGCAGCCCACGGGACACTGGGGCGCCGTTAGAAGGAATAGTGATCTTTACTATCTCTAGGCAGAAGGAAGAAACGCAAGCTGCTTGGAGAGGAAATATACACTATGATATAGTTTAGGTAAAAAATAAACAAAGGAATAGATTTTAGAGGTATATGCATCTACATATGCAAATGCACAGAGAAAATATCTGGAGCCAGGCTCCTGAAACTGAGGAGAGCAGTTCATTTGCTGGGGATGCTGGGGAGGGACTGAGGGGAGCATTAGGATGGCTTTATCCGAGGGGTCTGATTTTTACTAATGAGTGTACTAATTATCAATGCATTTCTTGCATAATTAGAATAAGCATTTTGTGTGTGAGGGGTTAATTTGTTTGTTCGCTTGTGGGTTGTTTTGGTTTCTGTTTTTACAAATACAAAGCAAAGAGCGTGGTTGCTAACGGATTGGTAGTGGGTACATATGCCCAGAGCAAGTTCTGCAGACACAGGGAATTTATTTTATCCAAATATCTTTTTTTAAAAAAAATATTTATGTGCTTTAACTGGAGCCCCAAGCCTCTGAGCAGACTGTCAGTGACATGGGGCCAGCAGGTGTGTGCCCAGGGCTGTGATTTCACCACCCACAGCCCCAAATCCCTCCCAAGCTGCCTGGCACTCACTGGGGAGCGCTTTCCTCTTTGGTCTTTAAGAGGACCCGAAAGCCAATGCCCTGGCCGGAGTTCTTGGAGATTAGCCGAGTGGAATGAGACCTCAGGGGAATGTGACATGAGATAGGGCCGGGCGTGGGGACGAGGAGCTCTGGAGAGCTGCGGCCGGCGGCTCGCATTCACAGCCAAGCAGGCTTGCTGGCACGGAGCTTGGGGCCTCCCCGCACCCCTGACAGCTTGATTCCTGTGCAAAATACACGACTGCCATGTTTCCTCCTGACTCTAACCCACAGGGACTGTGGCTAAACGGCACTGCCGTTTCTAACCTTCCAGCTCCAGGGGAACGGGAAGCAACCTTGCCCACCCTTGCCCACCCCCATGTCCGGAGGAGGCACCCTGGCTCCCAGTCAGAACCACGCCCCGTCCCCCGCTCCTGCTTACACACTAAGCTTCAGGTCCCCTGCAGTCGTCACAGGCTCTCAGAATCCTCAAACAGGTACGGGTTACACATGAGACAAGGATGTGACAAGCATACTCCGCCTACATAGGGAGGCACTGAGGCTGTGACATACCAAGAACACAAAACTCAGCCGCCTTTACGCCCCGATCAGCTGGCACCCCCGTCCTGTTCAGTCTGTCTCCATCTGCACAAGCCACTAATTCGTTCATGGGTTCAATGTCTCCCTTCTTACTGAGCTAATGCAGACAGGGGCCTTCGAGAACTTCTTTCCCCTCTGCCAGGTAGACACCTATTTTCAACCATGACTTTGCGCGGAAGAAATGGGAGACAGGTTAGCCAGCGCTCGGCCGCCCTGCCTCGCTCTTAATCGCCTTTCCTGCACACGAGGCTCTGCTATTATATTTTGGACTGGGTTTGGTTCCTGTGAAAACCTTGGGGTGTTGGTTTTGCAAATATAAAAAAAAATTTTTTTTTTTTTTTGAGACAAAGTCTCGCTCTGTCACCCAGGCTAGAGTGCAATGGCACGATCTTGGCTCACTGCAACCTCCACCTCCTGGGTTCAAGCGAGTCCCCTGTCTCAGCCTCCCGAGTAGCTGGGACTACGGGTGGGTGCCATCACGCCCAGTTAATTTTTTGTATTTTTAGTAAAGACGAGGTTTCACTATGTTGGCCAAGATGGTCTGGAACTCCTGACCTCATGTGATCCACATGCCTCGTCCTCCCAAAGTGCTGGGATTACAGGTGTGAGCCACAGCACCCGGCAAATACAAAATATTTTTATGGTAAATAAAAATGCAGTGCCCAGACTGAGGTTACCTGCATGCAACACTCCATTCCTCTCAAAGCCTACAGAAACCTAGGCAGTGCGCATAAAAGACATGCTGTTGCCTGGAGAAAATGCCCTGAGAAACCTAACAGCGCCCTTCCCCTCTGCCCCGACCCTGTTCCCCTCATCTTCCCTTTGGATTACAAAAGGCCTTACAAAAGGGCCATTTAGGGGCAGACCCACCTAAAATAAGTGCCTTTTCTACATGTGTTGAGCATTGCCATGTGCCAAGCATTTTATATTTTATTTCCTTTAAGGTATCAATCCAGGCAACTCTTGAAAGTTCCCATCCCCACCCTATGTGAGAGGGGGAGGATGATTTATAGCCACACGTCCGCAGTCATCCATCTCCGCTAAGCAGAGTCTGCCCTCTCTGACCCCCAGGTGGACCCCCGAGCCCCATCCCAGATGTCCCCACGCACATCTGTATATCATGGTGATAAACTTTAACACCGCCCTTGGTTTCACATAGCAGACAGACAAGAGTAACAGGGGTATTGGATTTTGGGATAATATACTATGTTAAGGTTATATGACCCCCTACTCCTCTCAGACCCCGCCTCCCCAAAGTGGGTGTTGGGTGGAAGACAGAAGAGCACGCATACCTGGCAGGCCACCAAGCGAGACTGGAAGGCTGGTCTTCTTCAACGTCAGACTAACGGGGCCCCACACCCCTCCAAGCCAGGGGCCATCCTGGGGGCAGCAGGGCTGGGCCACGACCTGGCCTCAGGAACACCCCGACCCACTGCCCACTGGGGGCAGTGAGCCTCAGCTGCAGAATGAAGGGCTTCAGTTAGTTCCATTCTAAGGAATCTACAAATGTGCTATTTGTGTAAATTTACACATTAGGAAAAGGAATATCGTTTTTCAGACCTTTTGATTTGGTCCTGGGCCAGGCATCTGCTCCCTTCCCAGGAGAAGGCAGCCGTCTCCCCTTCACACCACCTGGGAGGGCGAGAAGAGAAACTGGTTATTTAGTGGCATGGCCAAAGCCCATCCTGACTCTCTGAGCCCTTGTCCCAGGCCTCACCTGCTGCCAGCAGCCCTACTGTGTGCCAAGGGAGGATGAGACAAAGGAGTCACCACTGCAGATTACTATGAGGGAGCAGGACAAAAACCCCCGGGGCTGGGATGATCGGGGAAGGGATGACCAGCCTGGGACGCAGCCACTTAGAATGGCCCATGCAGGTGGCGGGGTCAGGAGGAAGGAGTTGCAGCTCAGGCAGCTAAGAGATTTACTCAGAGTCCAGCACAGCCCAGGCCCAGACTCACAGAAACTTTTTTTTTTTTTTTTTGAGATGGAGTTTCACTCTGTTGGCCAAGCTGGAGTTCAGTGGCACAATCTCAGCTCACTGAAACCTCCATCTGTCAGATTCAAGCAATTCTCCTCCCTTAGCCTCCCGAGTAGCTGGGATTACAGGCGCACACCACCATGCCTGGCTAATTCTTGTATTTTTAGTAGAGATAGAGTTTTACCCTGTTAGCCAGGCTGGTCTCAAACCCCTGACCTCAAATGATCTAACCACCTCGGCCTCCCAACATGCTGGGATTACAGGTGTGAGCCACCCCACCAAGCCAGACTCACATAAATGTTTCCATCCATTTGCTAGAGAGCAAAATGGGTATCCATCAAGAGCAGGAGGCCTCCAGGAGCTGAGAAGCAAGGCTGCAGGGCCAAGGCCAGTGAGGACGCCAGCGAGGCTGATGGTCTGGCTGGACTGAGGCCTTGCCTCAGTGAGCGTGGGCCCAGGCGGGTGGATGTATGACCCAGGGCCTTGGATTCCTCTTCTGAAAAATGGGGATCATGAAAGGAAGGCCCTCACAGCTTCTCAGAAGGACTGAACGAGTGAAAACCTGTAAAATGCTGAAAGAAGCGCTTGGCATATAGTAAGCACTCAGGAAACATCAGGGGGGTCCCCAAGGTAGCCACGTGGAAAAAAGCAGCTCACGACAGAGAGGCAGGCAAGCAGAGCAGACTGGAAGGCTGTGTGTGCACTGTGGTTGCCACTGTGGAAAATGTATGTGTGTCAAAAAGACTGGACTTTCATAATTAAAGAAACAAATGTATTCAATAACTTTTCAGAAAGCAGTGAGGTTCGAGTCGCACAGGACCAGAGGAGATCCACTTGAGCGCCTGCAGCCAAGGTAAGACATGGAGCGGAGGTCCCAGGTCGACCTCCCCCAGAGAGCGGGCGGGTGGGCGGGGGAGTGGGGGCAGTGAACGGGATGGGCTGGAGCTCAGGAGAAGGGTTAAAGGATTCATTTGTCTGTAAGAAAAAACCACGACATGGTGCTGGGCACTCCAGGCCTCGATTCGCATACTTCAACAGCTATAATTAGAAGGTCCTGGGCCAGCTGTCCTCTCCCTCCTCCAACACCAAATAAGCCAGAATGAGTTGGGAGTGACAGCACGCACCTCTGGGGGAGATGGAGGCAGACACTGAGACCCCCACTCTTGTGGTATGGACACCCCTCAGGCCACAAGGCTGGCCGTATCAATGCCATGGGATGAAGCTGGCATCTCTGGCCCAACAGGTCCCCAGAGGGCAACTGCCAACCACACTCTGGGCATCTGCGCCTGCCCTCACCGTCTACTAGGGGAGAGACGAGAAACCTGGCTTTAAACCCTGCCTCTGTCTCTCTGGGGACTTGTGCCGGCACCTTGCCCTCCAAATCCCAGCTAACTCTGTAAGACGGCAGCACATCCCCCAACTCACAAGGAGCAAAGTCAGTTTCAGGGGTGAGTGGCTAGAACCATGCCTGACACGGAGCAGACACTCAGAGACTCATTAGGATGTATTTAATAAATACATCTAATCAGCCCATCTGGGTCACATTCCATCTCCGCATATACCCTCACCAACTCCAGCCACCAGCCTACCCTTCCTGGGGAAGGTCCCATGGCCCGGGCCCATGCACCGTTATCGCTGATCATTATGGCTCCAGGGCAGTCCAGCTTCACCCCTGGACTCTGGTTTGCTCACTCTCAAAGCAGGGCATCGTCCCCTCGTGGGGTTAATGGGAAGACTAAAGTTGACACCGTGCATGAAATGCTGTCCAAATCTTGACCATTACAATTACAGTGGGTGTTCTGGAAGCAATGATAAGAATCCTAACGACAGCAGCAATCCCTGACTTACAGCACTTACAGTTAACAAAGGGCTTAACATGCCCATCTTCCCTCGAAAGGAGGTGCTCCTGCCTCTCTGTAGGTCGGGAAAAGGAGGCTCTGTAAGGTTAGCCAGGCTCTCATCATCCTGCTTCCACCAGGCCCCAAGGCCGGGCCCTCCTTGTTTGCCTTGCAGTCTCCACCTTCCTGCTCTAAGAACAGCCAACTCCTAGGCCCACAGCCTCCTGGCTTGTCCATGCAGCCCACCGGGAGAGCAGAGAGCCCACCGAGACGAGCACGTTCCACTCTGAGACCCCTATCAAGACAAGCATTAGAAGAGACCACAGTCTGTGTTTTCAACCATTGCTCACATATGGCAGCCTCTGTTTAAATGAAATAATACGATGACCCCAATTTAGAGGAGCAGCTGGTGGAACTGAGGCAGGAATGCATGTCCCTGAGCTCCACCTATTGGGCCAGCCATCTCCCCTCGTTACTGTTTCCCAGCAGTCCCCCACAGGCACCTGTTAGGAACCCCAGAGCTACAGGAGCACAGTGAGAAGACCACCGCCCAAACCCTCCCTGCAGACTTGGGGAAACTGAGGACCTGGGAGAGGAAGCTCACACTGACAGTCGGTGCCTGTCTAGACTAGGAAGCTGGTGCAAGCCTGTCCCTGTCCACTTGCCTTGAAAGGCAAGATCAGCCTAAGGAGCAGCTGATTGGCCCCACTGATTTGGACAAGACAAGGACAAGCTCACCCGTGACCCCTCACACAGCCCCTCCCACAGGCAGCACGGTCCCCTTCCCAGGGTTATTCTGGGCAGAGTGATCCAGCTGCCCCCTGGAGCTGCCAGTCAAGCGTGGAGGGGGCAGGGACACAGCACAAGAGCACTGTGGGGCCCGGGCACTGCCCGTCACCTCAATGGCTTAGGAAGGTGAGGGGCTGGGGGTTCCTCTGCAGAAGACCCCACCCTGCTGGGTGGTTTGGGATTTAGAGACGCCCTGGGGACACCCTAGTTCTACTGTAATTCCCCATCACTGCAATGATGTTCAAGGCCCACGGGGCCTGGCATTCAAGCACGTTAGTTTAGACCATAGTGGTAGAGGGGGAGTGTCCGAGTCTGGGCTGCCCTGGGCCGAGATGCCAATGGCCTCCCACCCCGCAAGGCTCATGTCGTCTTTAGCCACAAGTCAGGAGTGTGCAGGGTTGAGGGGTCCCGGGGGTAGGGACTCTAACATGAGCTATGCCAGGCTGCTGCCCCTGCAGACTCCACAGTCCACTAGGACCCCCAGGACCCAATCCAAGCTCCTCATGAGGGCCTCAGGAAGCCTCCAAGAATCTCTCCATCCTCCTCACCCACACCCACCTAGCAAGCTGCACCAGAGGAATGACCTGTCCTTGACACTTGTTCATACCAGGGAACAGGTATGAACAGGAAGGCTCCCAAGTTGCCATGGACTCATCTTAACCTTGACATGAGTTCAACAAAATCAATAAATAACAACAATCAATCAGTAAAAACAAACCCTCCCAGGGTCCTTGCCTGCCCACCCTCACTATGACGCTACGCCCAGCAGGCCAGGTAGCAGAGGAAGTTGCCAGGGGATATTCATTTTGAGGCCACTTCACCCCTAAGACCCATAGCTATGTCCCTCAAACCCCAGGAGCTCTGAGCATCACCTACAGGGAGGCCAAGATGGACAGGGGTCTTTGCCTGACACCCATCCTGGCAGCCCACACAGCCGGGGCCCCAGGTGTGACTGGGCTCATTTCTGGAGGCCACGAAAGGGGCCATGGCCAGCATTCCAGAGAACCCACATCTCCCCTGTTTCCCATTCCATCCTCATAGCCTCCCTGATCCTCACCAGCTTCACCTTCCTCCACAGCCCCCCGGCCTCCCACCCTTCTCCCCTGTCCTCACCTCTCCCCTAATTCTTCCACCCCCGCCCCCCGCCCCAGGCTGAACTCTGCTCCTAAATATCCTCTCATCTCCTCTTCCAAGCTCTATTTTTAAAATCAGATTTCCTTTACTGTACAGGCGAGCTGACAGAGAGAGGTATTCGCTGAGGGATTTGTCCCCCCCATGCCCCCCCCACACCCAACCCTTCATAGACACACGTTGGCAGCCCTGACCCAATGGGCCACTGGCTCAGAGGCAAGCAAGGAGCTGACCCGACCGAGGCGCTGGGCACTGAAGGTGCTGAGGCTGGGGCGTCTATCTCTGAGTGCTGCGGGGAAGAGGGTCCCACTTGAAGACCTCAAAGGCAGTTCTGACCCCAAACCAGGTGCGCTAAGTTCTGGGCTTTTTTTTAATATAAGGTGGGAATTTCCAAATCAGTAGACATTTCTTAAAGAAATTGTCATGAGATTTGAGAACATCATGAATTGAGTCACATTTGAAAGACTGAGAATATGATTTCCACAAAGTCCAGGGAAGAGGCAGGGCCAAGGCTTTGGCAGGCCAGCTGGTGGGCAGTTGGAGCCAGGTGGGATGCCCGTAGTGCCCACCTAAAGCCAAAACTGGGATGACAGGCCCCAAAAATGCCCAGAACCTCCCAGAGAGGCGAGTGGTCAGCAGGGGTGGAGGGAAGCCCTCGCCCTGCTTCCAAGGCCCCCACTCACCTCCAGTGGGGTATTCGTCTCCAGGGCGGGGCCTCATGTCCTCCCAGGTAATGATCTGCAAGATGGGTCTGCCTCCATTTCCCTCCATGGGGATCCAACACTGTGCCTGGCCCAGAAAAACAATCAGGACATGCTGCTGTATGAATTGATGAATTCTGTGTGAGGGACTTGGTTAAAAGAAATAAATTAACATCCGGGAACAATAAAATCGAAACACATTTGGAGGCTGGAGAATGGGAAACTCAGTCTTTTCAGAGGGAAGCATGAGGAACAGGAAATGGGAGCTGGAAACTGTAGATGGTGAAAAAGTTTTGGTTTCGTGCGAAAGGAACTTAAGCTTTATGGTTTAATAAGAGCAATCTAACGATTTTCAACGTGAGAAATACTTGCTCCCCTTTTCATTTCATGCTCAGGCATTTGGATTTGATGTTGTAGACATGGAACTTGACAGGTTTGAAGCTGGGACTGCCATGATTAAAAGTGGGTGCCTTGCTAAGATGGTGAGGCTTTTTGTAGTGATGAAAACACGTTGAGATTTTAAGCGAGAGTTTCATAATTTGAGTTTCCTGGGAAGAAATCTGGACTTTATTTTGAGAGATGACAGGATCAAAGTTTTATATCATGCTAAGGAGTCTGGATTTTTGCCAAAGGGTTTTAAGAAATGTGATGATGAGATTTTTGCTTGTAGAAGATAAGTGGGCAGAAAAAACATGATAAAATATATTTTACGGATAATGGCTTTGGGATTCATATTACAAGCAAGAAAGAAACACTGGAAATTGTAAAACAAAAATCACAGCCACCAATTTAACAATCATGCGCAAATATTGTGCCTTTCTGTCTTGTGGGAATACCAATTTCAGCCTGCAGAGCTTGCCTAGGAGATGAGATTAATGTTGACACCAAAGCTGAAAGATTTTAACCAGAGGAGTTACATGATCAATATTGCAAATATGAAAAGAAGTTTGGAATTTATTTTGAGGCTCCAATATGATTAGACTTTTGCATACGCCTAGGAATTTGATTTAGCCAATAAAAAGTTCTAACAGAGTGACCTGGTGAGTTTTTTGCATTTGATAAATAATATGCAGTAAATTACAAAATAAAATTCATATTTTATGCTAAGAATTTTGACTTTTCTTCCATTTACAATTAAGAGACACTAAGATTTTGAAGAGGAGTTGTAAGATCAAATTTTATAAATTGACCTAGGAAGTGTGAATTTTATTTTAAGGGATGACATGATCAAATTTTTATATCATGTTTACAACTTTGGATTTAAGCCAATAAAGGGCTTAAAGCAGTAACAGAATGAGATTTTGGATTTTTAATAGACTCTCCTGAAGAAAAATTACATGGTAAACTGTTCCATTTTGTGTTAAGTAGTTGGGACTTTATGTTACAGGCAACGAAGAAAGTTTGAGAAGTTTTCAGTTGAGAAGTTACAGGCTCCAACACCTGCATTTTGGCTAGCTAAAAGACAGGATTTCTATGATAAAGATGATCTGATCAGATTTTTCTCACATGCTAAGGAGATGTGATTTTATGTGAGAGCTGAAGGCATTCAAGTGTTCTATTTGGAGTGGGGGATGAGCTCATTGTTGAATTCTTACACAGAGGCATTTGGATGTTAGCCAGTAAAGAGTTTTAAGGAGTAAATTGATGAGTTTTGTCTCCAGAGATATTGGATTGTAAACAGATTTTAAGTTAAGGTGTCTGGATTTGATGAACCAGATAATGAATAAGCATCAGACCACTTCTGAGCAGAGGCGTCCGTCCCCTGGGTATGAGGGCACCCAGGCAGCGCTCCATGCTGAGGAGTTGGGTCATTTACAGATAGCAGGTTTTATAAAGAGGAGTTATATACTTAAATGTACATAGTATGCTAAGAAGTTTGGACACTATTTTGAGGGATGACAGGATCACATTTTTATGCCATGCTAAGGAATTTGGATTTCAGCCATTAAGGTTTTTTTTTTTTTTTTTTTAAGAGGGAGTTTCCCTTGTTGCCAGGCTGGAGTGCAGTGGCGCCATCTCAGTTCACTGTAGTCTCCCTGGTGCAAGTGATTGTCTCGCCTCAACCCTCCAAGTAGCTGGGATTACAGGCATAAGCCACCACTCCTGGCTAATATTTGTATTTTTAGTAGAGACAGGATTTCACCATGTTGGCTAGGCTGGTCTCAAACCCCTGACCTCAAGTGATCCACCTGCCGTGGCCTCCCAAAGTGCTGGGAGTACAGCTGTGAGCCACCATGCCTGGCCCATTAAGATATTTTTAAGGGAGTAACATGGTAGAAATTTTGTGTTGGGTAGAGTAGTCAGAGAAATTGTCTGGTAAAATGTATTGTTCTATGCTAAAAAAATAAATAAATAAATTAAACCCTATGTCTTAGGTAATTAAGAGATAGAATAAAGGTTTAAGCAGATGTTGTAAGAGTAAATACGTGTATCTTGCAAGGGAGTGTGACCTTTTTATTTTGAGAATGACATGGTCAGAATTTTATATCATGCTAAGAGGTTTGGAATTAAGTTAATAAAGGGTTTTAGGAGTGACCTGATGAAATTTGGGGGTTCGTATCAATCAGCTGGCAAGTAAATTACATAGTGAAAATTTTTATTTTATGCTAAGTGGTTGGAACGTTACATTATAGGCAATAAAAATGAATTTTTGTATGTTTTAAAGAGAAATTATGAGATAACCTTTATTCATCTTGCTAACAGTTTAAACTTTGATGTTAAGAAGTATTAAGCTTTTTCTAACATGCCAAGGATATTAGATTTTGAGTTGAAGGCAGGGACACTGAAGGATTTAATCATTCACATGGTTGAATTTGTAAATATGTTAAGGAGTGTAGACTTTATATTAAGAAGGTGCATAATCTCGTTTTTAAATCATCTTGCTAAGAAATTTAAATTTTCACCAATAAAAGGTTTTAAGTGAGAGACATGCTGAGATTTTTATTCCTGATAGATGAGTCTGCAGATGAATTACTTAGTTAAATTCTGTATTTCAATCAGAATTTTATATTAGAGGTTTGAATTTTACAGTGATAATGCATACCTCAGAGGGATTTTATGAAGGGGAAATGGGTTAATTTACGAAGTGTGCTGTGTATATGTTGCTCTGGTGGTAGTGATGATTCCAGTGACAATGGATCTAATTCTTATACCATGCTAATTTATATACTATGCTTTTAAAACAAATGTGATCTCTATCTTGAGGAATGACAAAATAAGAATTTTATATTATGTTGAGGCCATTACATTTTAGCCAGAGAATGGTTTTGGTGAGTTTACATGTCAGATATGTTTATGCTAGAAGGTTTGGATTTAATATTGCAGACAGTAAATAAACAGTGGAAGGCTTTAATCAGAGAGACTGCATGATCAGATTGAAGTGTCATGCTAGCAAGGGTGTACTTAATTTTGAGAAACAGCAGATCTGAATTTTGTATCCTGTTGGAAAGCTTGGATTTTGGCCAATGAGTTTCATGGAAGGGGGAAACGCATGTTTTTTTTACAGATGGATCCAGTGGCTAAGAAGAAAACTGACAAGTAACAAAAGGTGTTAAATTTATTATGAAGAGCAGTAACTAACTATACAGCTAATCTATCAGATAATCAAAACTCAAATTTGCTCTGCGCAAGCAGAGAAGAAATGTGCAAATGACCCCAACCAAGACATCCTCTTTCAATTCTGTCTCAGCCCACTAAAACTACCCAACATTAGATTTTAAAAAATCCACTCCAGGACCATCAGATTCCAAAGATGTTGCATGCTGCCCCAGCCCCAACTCAGTGTCCCAACTCTGCCAGATACGTGTCTATGTTGGGAGGGGGCAACCAGCAACAGAGAGAAAAAGATACTTGCTAGAATGAGGGGACCAGCCCCACTGGAGTGAAGAAGGGGACCCGGGAGATAAGATGGGAGAGGCGTGCAAACACGCTTGCACTGGTGAAATTGAGGCCAGATGTGGGAGCTCCAGAAGCCTCACAAAGAGGGCAGTCCTGGGAGAGTGGAGATTGCAGGAAGAGAGGGAGATTATCTGAAGGTCTCCTCATCAGCTCAGAGCTTGGGAGAACATAGCATTGGAAGGTGACCAAATCAAGAAAGAGAAATTGGCCAAAAGTCTGAGTTGGAAGCAAGTAACAAATATGCAATTATCCAGCACATAGTAGGTATGTCATAAACTTTACGGAAAAAAAATAAGAATCCAGACCTCTACACACCCCCTGAAATTTCCATTTAGAACGTGGGGAAGGAAATAAGAGCTATTTTGGTCTGCTGACCCAACTGACGGGATAGTGGACAAGTGCCCATTTTTCTCCTCTTCCACTGCCCCAGTGAACAGTAGGCATCTGTGCTAGAGATTCCCACTCCACAACCAAGGTGACTGGGCTTGCTCCAGAGCCCTGAACCTGCCAGGAGTGGCTTTGGGTGGTGCTGAGAGGTGACCTCTGTGATTCTCAGTTGACCAAAGCAGGAAAGGAGGAGTGACCAGGTGTGTGTGCCAGGGTGAAATGGAGCAGCCTGTGCACCCTGCCAGGTGCCCGCCTGCCACGGCGGCTGCTCCTGGCCGGTCACTCCACAGAATTTATGGGCTGTGAATTTCCAACATCGATTGGGGGAAACGGACAGGACAAGCAGACTGACTGAGCCTGGGGGGCTGGTCAGGGGTTGACAGATCTTCCCTCCCTGGGGGTGCCCCAAAGTGACCAGCCAAGGAGGCTGGTTTGGATACAAGAAGGCCTTCCCCAGTTTCTCCCTACTCTGATGCCTTGAGCATCTCATTTGTCCTTGAGAACCTGGCACTGCCACCTCGCGAGACCCTAAACTACTGCCTTTACTCCCCACTCCCCTCCACCCCCAGGTTCTATCTCCATAGTCCCAGCGGCTGACTGGACACCATCACAGCCTTACCCATCTTCAGAACACACTCCTTTCCATCCGACGAAATGATAGAACCCTCTGAAGACTCATTTGAGACGATGATGGAGCATAAGAATCCATCATCAAAACAAATGGAGTCCTCCGAGGGCTCATCCAGCACCACCGAGGTGACATCGGGCAGCGGCCCCGCCCAGGAAATGAAGGAGCCGCCCAGCGGCCCACTCCAGGAAAGGGAAGAGATGCCCACTGATCTACTCCAAGACATGGAGGAGCCATCCAGTGGCCCACATAAGGAAATAGAGGATCCACCCAATGACCTACTCCAAGACCTGGAGGAGTCATGCAGCGCTTCACGCCAGGCAAGGGGGGATCCACTCAGTGGAGCATCTGATAGGATGAAAGAAGCATCAGTCAACCCATCGGGAGCCCAAGAAGAGCAAGAGGCTCACACTGACCTGAAGGAATCGGCAAGGGAGGAGGCTCCGCAAGAAGGGCAAAACCAGACCGAGCACTCTACCGCGGAGCTTATGGCCATGGTGAGGTCCATCATCTCGCTGTACTTCCGAATGCAAGACCTCAAAGAGCAACAAAGAGTAGCAGAAGAGATCTTGATCAAAGGGATCACTGCAGGCCAACTGCCCGCCCCAAGGCACTTCTCCGGGGATCGCAGAGAATTCCACGAGTTCATCGTGCTCTGCCAACTGACCTTACAGAGCTACCCAAGAAAGTTCTGTAACGACCGTCTACGCGTTGGGTATGTCATCGACCACCTCTCCGGCTTGGCCTTAGAATGGGCCAGAGCTCTAGTGCAGGAAGACAGCCCCCTGATCGGAGACTTCCCAGCCTTCCTGGAGGCCATGTCGGAGGTGTTTGAATACCGCCAGGCACTTCGTGTGGCAGAAGAGGCCATGTTCAGTATCAGGCAGGGCGGCCGCTCGGCCACCGAGTACATTGATGAGTTCCAGAGCCTGGTACCCATCTTGGGCTGGCCAGATGAAGTCCTGCAGGCCCACCTGTGCCAGGGGCTCAACGAGGAGATCAGGCACTATCTATTCCGGGTCCCTCAGCCGGAATCCCTAGACAGTCTGATTATGCTCATCCTGCAAATAGAAGAGAAGCTGGCGGAGAGAAGAGCCATGCTCAGGCTGCCCCCCGAGGCCCGGCCCCGGAACCTGACCTGGATCGACTCACCTGCTCCAGAGAGGTGGAGTGTCAGCAGCTGGCTGCCCAGCGAAGTCCATCCAGGTATCAACCGCGCCCACCTCTTCCTGCTGCTCATGGTGAGAGTGAACCCCTACCACAGCGTCGCCGTCCAGGCCCTGGTGGATTCGGGAGCCGACGGCAACTTCATGGATGAGAAGTTCGCCCAAGAGCACTACGTGGAGCTCTATGAAAAGCCTTACCCTCAGCCGATCCATTCCGTGGACGGCTCGCTGATTGGCAACGAGCCGGTCTGGCTCTATACGGAGCCCCTGGTATGCATCCACCAGAACCACCAGGAGTCCATTGAATTTGACATCGTACCTTCACCAAACTTCTCTGTGGTCCTAGGCATCCGCTGGCTCCGAGTCCATGCCCCAGAGGTCGACTGGGTCAAAGGCCGCTGCACCTTCCACTCTCCCTACTGCCTGAAGAACTGCTTCCGCCCACCCCCGCCATGCATCGCCCTGGAGAGACACGGCATGAGCCTGCTACCCGGACTGCCACACCCATACTCAGACCTGGCCGACGTGTTTAACCCGAAGGAAGCAGATGATGAGACTTCCGACCAGCCAAGCTCAGACGGATCCGATGATCTTTCTGAATCAGAGCCCTCTGAGCTTCAGCAGGCTGGAGACAGTGATCACAGCGAGACCTTTTACGAATGTCCCTCCACCGCGCCTTGGGAACCTGTGAGTGCCAGGATGCAAGAAAGAGCCAGGCTACAGGAGGAATACTGGGACCTGCAGGACATGCTGACCGACAGACAGGACTACATACAGATGATTCCGGAACTGTTTGACCAGTTACACGGAGCCACGTGGTTCACAAAACTGGAGCTGCGTGGGACCATTGTGGAGGAAAGCGTGAATGTGCACGGCACCGAAGATGTGTGGAAAGCAGCGTTTGGTTTGGAGCTTCAAGAGATGAAGAGCTACCAGCCGTTCGCACTCTCCCCAGACCCTATCATCCCTCAGAACGTCATTCACTTCATCCTAAAGGACATGCTAGGCTTCCTCGTGCTTTCCTATGGCCAGGAAGTCCTGATCTACTCAATGAGCCAGGAGGAGCACCTCCACCACG